CCCATCCAGAACACTGGCACAGTCTTTATCACTTACCAAAGCGATTCCCTTCTGAAACCCTATTACCTTAAGCTGTTTTGTTTTTTCATTTCCAAACTACGCTTGGACATCAGCAGCTCCTGTATCAGATCTGCTCATTAAAACAGGAGAAACAAGGCGCTCCCAGGAGCAGTCCTCCCTTACTGCCTTCTCTAAACAGTAGAGGATTTCCCTTCTCTTTGGCTTCTTCTCAGCCTTCCTCTGTTGTCTGTTTGCAATTTAAGCAGCACAGCCTGGGGTAAACCTTGGCCATGAGRTTGGAGATAACCCAACAGGAGAGTGACAATTCCTACGGCAAAGGCAAAGGTCTCCCAGTGCCCTGCTTCTCTGTCTGGGAGCCGGTGCCCTCTGTGGATGCTCTGCTCTTTCCTGGGATGTGCAGAGCAAGTCYAGGCAAGCCGGGGAGGCTGCCAAGAGAGCAACAGGAGCAGTTAGGCTTGTTGCAAAGTTTCACGTTTCAGCCTTTGCTTAATGTAGTTGGACAAGCACATAAACCTCAAAAGGTTGAAGAAAATGGTCCATCATCATTCTCACAGCAAAACAAGGGCTCAGCTTCCCGTTAAACTCCACTCTTTCTCTCAAAGATTAAGACCACCAACCTTCCTTCCCATGCTGTCAGCTCAGCTCCACTCATTTTCTCTAGGTATCAAACACCACTGACTGATCCTGGTGATCACTGATCCTAGGAGTCCCAGCTCAGCAGCAGCTCTGGGACGCTGCTGGTTTTCCATGCWCTCTCACCCACTGAAGTAACGTGGGGCTTGGGGGGATTTGTTTGTTCTTAGCACACCAGCAATATCATCCTGCTGCTCTCAGTTTCAATAGATGGTCTGTCGTAAAAAATAAACAGAACTCCTATAGTACTTTTTGATCCCAGTTATCAAATTTTAAAATTTTAAATGCAAAATTTAATCATTTTCTCGCATAAGGCTTTGGCCCAACGATAAACTCAAAATCTAAGGTTGAAACCTTAGCTCTGTGATTCTTAATTCCAATGAATAGCATATATTTCAATATATTAATCAGCATCAAAATGAGAACTTGCACCTATGCTTCTTCTAAYGGAAGAGAAGGAAAGTGCCATCAATGCACTTTATTAAGGTAACTCCTTGTTTAACAAGTTGTTTTAGCTGTTGTAATCAAGCAATGAGAATTAAGCTTTCTCCTTTAATGGAAAGTAATTTTTAAGATGGAAAAACATACACAAAGATTAAAACAGGCAAGATAATTGAAAATGCTTGGATTTAAATTACACTGTTAGATTAGTTTGGAGCTTTTTTATTGCTGAGGCAGAAATAATATTGCTCATTACTCACACTTTCAATTATAAATGTATCTGTTATTGTTTCAGGTCTTGTTCATAAATATGGAAACCCAATGTACAGCTACACAAGCTCAATTTTATATGCCTGCTATAGGACAAGATACTGATTCATTTATTGATGAGAATATACTTACATAATTATACATAATACTAAAAACCTCATTGCCATCCTGCCAAGCCCATAGCAATATGTATTCTTGAGGACTGTCTTTAAGCAATTGTTTGTACAAAAAAAACGGTTTTCTCTTAAACACACAAGAAGCTAATGAGAGCAACTAATGATAATTTTTACCCAGAACAGATATGAAGCCATCTTCAAAAAACCTTTGTCAATATGCCTCAAATCTCACCTGTAAATTCATCACTTCCTATGTACATTAGTGACATTTGCAATTGGTACAGGTATAATTACCTATAGAGGAACTGTTTTCTCTAGCATTCATAGATGAAAAACTACATCAACTGTTCCAGTKTTGAAGAGGTGATTCCAAGCAGCTCGTCCTCAAAGCTATTCCGGTGACGAACAACAGTCCCCAGTCATCCAGGGACAAAATTCCATTTTCAGCCCCTCTTTCAGTAGATTTGGGCAACCAATAATTGTAATTTAGTTGATACAGGATTTATCAAAGTACACAACAAAGTTATGCTCTACTAATAAGGTACTGTATACCCTACATTAATTTAAATTGAATCCTTTCATTGACAAGGAGTAAATCCCCATTTCTCCTTGCACAGAAACACATTTTCTATACCAAAAAGTTCATATGGAAAGTGAAATTCTTCTCCTGACTTTTAGGTAAGGTTTTATGGTTTTTAAAGATTGTTTTTTTCTCATTTCTGGTGACCATCAAGGTTAAATGTAAAATGTTTTGTCATTTATATTCACATTACAGGCTTCCATATAAAATAAATTCTAATCTGAGGTACTTAGAAAATACAATCATGGCCATGTTTCCTTTCAGACACACTCTGCTTTCAGCTTTTAATTTACTACTGTAATGCATTTTGCAATGAAAGGTGCTACACAAAATTAGATTTCATTCTACTCTTTGAGCGTTAGTGCTGAAACTGAACATTGCTGATAAGCTGCTCTGATACTTCATCTGTATTCATTTCCCAAGGGAATCAACACCAGTCTAGCGCCTCAAAGTTACTATTGTCTRAGAACTCTTTTGGGTTACTAACAATTGCCTCCAATCTAATTACGACATCTTACTCAAAAGATTCATATTAGCTTCGAAATGGCCAAAAGCAATTCATGGCTATCACATAGCAGTTCTACAACATCACTTTTATGAAAGAGGTCAGCTCCCTTTAAGTTTGCTCTGCGTCAGTCCGCACCAGTCCAAGGAATATTTCTACCAATTTCAGCTTCATCACTCATGTTATTGAATTAAACAATGTACCAAAACCACGTTTGAAAAATTAAGCCAGAGATTACAGATACCCAGGTCAATAATACCAATTATTTACTTAGACTACACAGACAATCAGCCAAAATTTGTAGATTTAAATGGAYAACTTTCATTTTTGCTTCTAAACATTCATGCTCTGTAATGCATGAGGCCATTTTTTTGACAAGGAGAACAAAGAGAAGGTCACTTAGCACTCCGTTAAGAACTGCAGCATCATGCAAATGCACAAGAATTCAATTTGTATTCAATGGATAGTCTTAAACTATCCATTAAACATCATCAGGCAGCATCTATCTATCTGATCAACTCATAACTTTGCAATTACATAACAATGAAAACAGATTTCTGTTAAGMAATTCTGTTATCTCAGAACTATGAGTATTGTATGAGCTACAGAGCCATTAAGACATATTCCATCGAATGCTTACAGAGAACTCAACATCCCTCCCCTCTTCCTGAACACTACTTTGAAGGACTGATCACCAATCAAAACACTAAAATGCTGCTTGAACCACATGCTAACTTTTGGTGAACATATTTCTTCATATTATTTCTCAAACAGTGATAAATATAGGTCTCAAAACTGCAAGATGCTGCARTACTTTCAACATCTACCAAATATGATAGTAATAAAAACACGTAACATCAATAGGGATGATCCTGAAAGCATTTCATGTAAAAACAGTTAAGTGAGCTGAAGGGCATGGATTTTAGTCTGTGCCTTTGTTTACAAAGGACAGCAATATGATAAAATAATACAAGATTAGGAGTGCATTTAAAAACATAGTTATAAATACTACTATTGAATGTAAAATCCAGAATTTGACATTTATACAATAGGTTAAAAAAAATTAGGCAGAAATATATTTTATATCATTTCTCAAACAGCTCTGATGAGTACAGCTAAACCCAGACACTGATAAAAGGACTGCAAAATGTATTCAGGTTAAGTTATGCAAATAAGTCTACACTGACTGTTACATAAAATTAAATGTCAAGGCTTTCCTATGCTAATTCAGCTTGTAAGTTAGGGATAGAAGAATCACTGATTTGGAGAAAAGGGATTAGATTTGCATTAATGTTCTTATACCTGAGGTAGAAAATATGTAATACACACAACTGCTCTGCAGGCTGCTGTGGCTGAATCCCAGCATTATTAAAGTGCATCATTTCTATGTAAATAGACATGGTAAATAGTTTCTCCAGACAGGAAGTTGTGTGTAAATTTTACCTTGTAAAATTTAAAGAATGGTCCCAAGAAACACAGGCACACAGATAGTGGGGGCATAAAAAATAGAATATTTCTCATTTWAAAAAAATTAATAATCTCTGTACAGTCTTATTGACTGTAACATGATTCTAGATATTATACTGAAAATTTAACCTCCTCTAAATTCATTTGTTTCTCTTAAACTACATGTTCTTGGGTCCATCTGTGAAAACAAGGAGGTTAATTATAATAGTACATTGCATAATTCTGTAGCTAAATGCTGAAGTAATTCTACATAAATACCATATGTTTGTCTTAGGAAAACCAAAAAAGATTAATTAGAAGTTCAAGCCCAAGTCTTTGGAAAGTAGCATTCGGAACACAAATAGATCATTACACTATGTACTATGCAAATTAAAGTTTTAATTAGTAGCTAAAACACTGGTCAGAGTGAACAAAAAAAGCCTATAACAAGTAGCTGTTGACAAGCAGAAGTCTAAATTGTTTGCCACACACATTTCCTACTGATATTCCTTATAAAAAAGCTTCTTTCAGACATGATGCACAAGTCAGTTGCAAAAAGAGTCATTTTAACTTGTCACACTCTTTGGATGTAGAAACTACCAGTTAAGCATTTCAATCCAAATTTCTGTTTATCTATTCTGCTCACCTATTTTAAAATTACCCACCATCCTAAGTACATTTTGCTCTAAAAAGCAAACTATAATCAAGAAGCAGAGTAACGACCCAACTTGAAGTGTTAGCTGAGAAAGAACCTACAGAGATCTAGCAGTCACTTCTCTACATATATATATACACACACATATACATATGTATATGCATACACATATATGTAYACACGTATATACACATGTATATCACCTCTAACAGTCTCCACACTCCTGAAGAAACAGAATGGTAATCTTGACATGATTACTAAAGGTAAAGAGAGCTTTTTCATGAACTTCAATACATTCTGGGCCATATCCAGAGCATTTATTACTTTACTCACCACATATTCAAACACAAGTGTCAAGGTCTCCTTGGTGTGAATGATGTCATGAAGCAGCACAATGTTAGCATGTTTCAGTCCTTTCAAAAGAGAAGCTGAAAAGCAAAACACACATCTTAAAAACACCAAAATATTTTTTATTAATTGGCATGTACTTTTTAGTTACTTGGAAAATTAYTTAACATCAGAAATATGTAACTTGGCCAACAATAGCTGTATTTAAGCCTCTTTGGTGTCCATGAGCTTTTGCATTTTGAAAATCACGCCTTTCGATTTAATGCTATTTTATCAAACTTGGTCAAACTCAACTTCAGTTCCAGGCCAACACGAGCTACAGCTGGAGACACTTCCCTTAAGGAGCCTCTGCTATGTGAATCCATCATTAGCTTCTCACTATAAACATTAGGTTCTTCTTTTAAACTCAAAGGTCATTTTTGCCTCAGATAAAAGTCATAGTGTTTTTCAACAGTCGTCACCTTTTCCAATCTAACACAACAAAATAGCTTTCTAGCCAAAGTACAATATCTATCCTATGATACCCTATCATTTTAAGCAGTAATTCCTCTTACTCATAAACCTAAAGGCTCATACAGATTTCATGGAATCATTTTCATTCTGAGAGAATAAATGACCTGTTTTCTCACAATGGCTCACATTTTGAGACTACTTACAAATAAGCATTTACTTTGTGAACCTGTGTGATCTCCTTCACTAAATTTCTTTTGCACCATAATACATATTTAATGTTCACACCATAATACATATTTAATGTTTCAACAGATACAGCATATTTTAGCAATAAATGCTGACAAGCCATGTGTTGTTACCAATGTCATTCTGCCATTGGTGCGTTGTCATCTCATGCATACACCCAAGCAGGACCATCAGTCACCACAGYGAAGTAAATAATAGATATAAAGACATGCAAATAAGTGACATAGTGAATAATGTTTGAATAGTAATGAATAGTTTTCTTTTGCCTAAGAAAATAATAAAATACTAAATTATCTCCCCAACCTCTTGAGAGGGCTGTGCAAAATGGACACTAAAGGAGCTCCTGGACACAATTATCCTCTGCAGTCCTGCTAAGGGWGCTTCAGACTCCAGAGGTCAAGACTGACTATTCTCTGCACTCCTGTTTGTGTTTATTGTGATCAAATGTTTATTTGATCAATATTTTTAACATCCTACAAATGAAGTAGAAGCTATTTTCTGAAAGGAAGTACCATGCAAAATTTTCATAGTAGTCTCATTGTAGAATTTGGAGATTTTCTAGGAGTAAAAACCCAGAGAAATTTGGTTGTTTCTTTTAAATGGACATTGGTGGAAAAAAGAAAGTATGTGAAAAAGAGGTATAGATATAAATCTCAGACAATTAGAACAACTATTCCAAAAGATGCAATCTACCAGGAACAAGATCTTTTAATCTGGAGAAACATGGAAAACAGTCCACATAAAGCAAGTTTTCCCGCAAATCTTTTCAAAAGCCCATACAGGCAGGGAGATTGGAAACAGGAAAAAAAAAAAATCCACATCCTAGTAGAGCCCTTACGGAATTGTAATAGTATTTATGGCCTCTGTCAGCCTTCCCTGTTCCAACCATCGCCTCAGACTTTTAATTCCTCTACTTGACCATTACTTAGTTGCTAAAATCTGCATATGGGTCATTAAAGCTTAAGCAGTACACGGAAAGCTGCTTACCCTGAAGTCTTTGCAAACACTGTCTTTCCTCTTCATTCCCCTCCCTGACTCTTACCTCTTAACTTATCCTCTCTAATAGCCAATTCCGCCTTTTACAGCTCTTCCCCCCCTCAATATTTAGTATCTGCCACACATTACAAGAACAACAAAATATCACTTGGGGGGCTCACATCACTGCCTTTTCCATTAGTCCCTGTGAAATACAGTAAACAATACAGAAAGCAGAAACTTCTTAATTGCACTAATTACACAYTGTGGAAGCAAGAACCAATTCTGCTATCAATTCACACTGTGGCAAATCCAGACTAAATGGTGACATGATAAAAATACTAGAAGTTGTTGAAAAGGCATTTCAACAAATCACAAAGGTGARGAAAACATGCCAGTATGCACTGTAAGATTTGCATGTACCTTTAAAAACAAAATTATATAATATTACTTCAATATTGTTGGAATTCTTCCTCTTCCCTCTCTGTATTAGATGCAAGGTAAACAGATGGAGAGATTTTTTATTTATTTCCCCAAAGAGTTTTGAGGAGGCACAGTAGCACATGATGCTAAAATGCTCTTTTTAAAACTCTGGACAAAATATTATATTCATCTGAATGGATACATGCTTGCTTTGTCAAATAGGTTTGCACATTCTCTTGGAGAAAATTCTAGCTATAAAAGAGAACTAGAGGATTAGGGGCATTCCTCAACAGTTAATGACATCCCAGATGATCCTTTCTGTGACCAGTATAAAAGTTCATGACCGGAGCCACTCAAAGCAGCAACGCTGAGCACTTCTCCATGAAGGGCTGATATCTATTTCTGCATACCTAGAAGAAACACATCGCATTTGCCTGAATAAGCACCACAGATTTCTCCCTCCAACCAGAAGATGTTGTCATTATTCGCATCTCTTAAGATCTCCTGACAAGCTGCCTCACTGCTTGCTTTGGTCAAGGAAATTGTTGCTGTCCCCAGATGAACTGGGTTCTAAAGTACGTTCACTTCACAAAGAAGCCAACGCAGATGGGCAGCAGCCGGCTCTTATCCAAAACCTCAGCGGCCTCAGCAAACAGTGCTTCACCCTGTGAAGGATTCATAGCAAGAGCCCAAGCTTGGTACTCCATGAGCAAAGCTGGATGGCTTCAGGACCAGCTTTGTCTTCCATCTGGTAGGCTTGGAGCGAGGCAGGAGCAGAACAGCTCTCTGAAAAAGACCACTCAGACATGCCCATGATTTATCATTTCAAAGCTGTATGTCATMGTCAACAGATGTAAGTATTCCTATCTACTCCCAAGCCACAGAAAGCAAGGAAAAAAAAAATCAAAGATATTTCTTTAGGACCTCGAAGTACAATAAGCTGTGACATTGATGATAGTACTTGAAACGTCCGATCACAATTAATTCGGTCTTGCAATTCTCAACAGTCTTGTTCTCACTCACTGGAAAATCTCTGCTGGAGCCATACCTGAAAGCATCATTCCTCCTCTCTAAATGGTCTGGCATTTTAGTGGCCTTGAGACTTTTCTCAGCAGGAACAGCACTCAACCCTCATGCTGCCAGGATCCACACTGATAAACAACTGCTGCTGCTGCTGCTGCTCTCTTTCATTTTACCTATCACAAGCAAAGGCTGTGATATTYCCATCATTCTTCCAGAAAACACGCTGCAAAAAAAAAGTCTATTTTCCTCTGTAGATGGTACAGGTGCCCTACAGGGCTTACCACACACCAGTAAGCACCATCTCAGTGAAGGTCTTGCTGCTTCTCACATATTTTGTTCACCCTTGTTCACTATCCTTGCTATTACTCTAAAAGGACATCTCTTGCTAGGGGAGTTTCATGCTTGAAGATGGCGTATCATGCCAGTTTGCACTCATCTGATATTGTTAACATCTTGGCTGTTCCACTTAATTTCTCAGACATCAAATGGTGAAGGTTCTAGGCAATATCAGCAGGAAAGTATTTGCTTGTGATTTGGAGCTATACAACCTGTAATGATCAATCTGTAACCAAAAAATCTGCAACTACCATCAACCAACAATTTGTAACCAACCTGAAACCAAAAAATCTGCAAAAATCTGTGGGTTGTCACATTCTGTAGACATGCTGGTGCTGACAGAGTGCCAGCTTCTTCTCGTAACATTTCAGTTTAGTCTCTTTATTCTGAACTCTCCCAGAAAAGCATTTTTAGTGTTTCAACTAAAGACAGTTAGACTCTTTAACAACATGCATAACTTTGTTCCTCATCATGTCTTTAGAACAAGCAGACTCAAAYGTTTTTGGTTCCCTACACATATTGCAAAAGTTCCGCTCCTTCCTCTAGCAATTTGTATTTTGATCTACACATCTTTTATAGTAGTTTTTGAAATTTRTTCTGAGCTGAATGTTCCCTATGATTCTCATGCAACTACTTCCACACTGCAGGACCTTTTACCTGCAAACTGATCTGCAAAATACAAGGTACAGTCAGGACTTCAGCACTTTGCACTGTTTTCACAGCAGTAATTACAGAAATTTCCTCCTCAGAAATGCAGTACTTGGATTTACCTTCCACCATTTTCCAGTCCCTCCATCTGAAATAATTTACTAAGAACAAAGAGCTTCATTTTCCTGAAATGCTAATATGACAAGATTCAGTTTGAGGAAAACTTTATGCCCTATGCAAGACCACAGAGACAACAAACTTATCATGTTCTCACCGTAGGWTATATTCTGCAGAAAGATTATTATTTGCAATGTCCCAAGAAATGGGTTTTAGAGCTGATAAATGCACAGAATTAGTCAGCTTCCTCTCTTACCTTAGCAAAGGCAACACAATAAAGATATAGGTCACTGTTCAACTTTAGCAGATTTTTATTAGAGAGATCTCTTGACAAACTTTAAAAGACTCTGCAGGCTAAAGGAAGAACAGAAAAAGCAACAAATCTTTCCATTTGGTTACTACATACCAAAAAAGGGAATTAGTTTTTTTTATAGCCCATTTCAACCTCATGCTGTCTTGTCTAGATTTTAATAAATTGGACCTTATTCTAGCTTTCATTAATTAAAAAAAAAGAAATTGGCATTAAGAAATTTCACAGTGCCTCAAATCCTTGCAAGAAGTTATTTTCAAATGTAGACTGCTTTGTTGAAAGGACCATAATATTGCATTAGATGCACCTGCTCCTATGTCAGGCTCAAATTCAGTCTGACACTTCAGTGGGCTCGCCTTTCAACAAAGGGCATTTGAAAATCCTTCTTGTTGCTCCTGCTTGGAAGCATATTATATTATTAAATAAATAATATGGGAAAAGAGCATATATAAMAATACATAGGCACCTTCAAGAGGTTCTTCTCAATACAGTTGAGCTTGAAAGCTCTTCACCTGTTGAATTGGACAGTGTGCTGGAGAGGCTGTCCAG